TTGGAACGGGGGAAGGGGTACTTTGGTTGGCTTTGACCGGCCAGAGGCCAGGAGGTCACGCGCGAGGGAGATGCACAGCAGTCTCGCACCGGTGCGCTACAACGCTCTCCAAAAATCTCCCCCCTCCTCCTCCTCCTCGCATGCTCACCAAACCCACTCACTCACCACTTACTCCACCTGTCTTTATGGCCCTTGAAGTAAAGGCAAGGTGTGCAAACAAACACGTCACTCGGTGACGAGCCCACGCCTCGCCGACGACTGATTCAGGCGGAGCAGCAGGACACCTCCCGCTCCCTCCTCCCCCTCTCTCCCACTCACCACACGGCGCGCACCGTTACCCCCCGCCCGGAGCGCGCCGCCTGTCCTCCTCCTCCTCCTGCTCCTGCCCCGTCTCCCTTCCGCTCGCACCCAGTCACCAAACAAAGCGGGCCCACCTCCCCTCTCACTCTCTCACTCACTCGCGTCGCTCCCGCCGAACTTGAAGCAGCAGTCCCCCCGCGTGCTCATCCTGGGCGAGCAGCCCGCTGAGCCGCGCCCCCCTGCGGCGGCGGGAGGTCGGGAGTGAGGCGGAGGTGCAGCCCGGACTGGGCCACGGGGTCGGCAGAGCCGGTTACGTTAGGTACCTCCGGGCCCGGCGGGGCGGCGCGCCAGGCCCTCCCTATGCCGCCGCGCCGCCGCCGCCGTGTTCGCGATCGGCATGGTTCCCATAAGCTTCCCATAAGGTCCCGTGCATCAGCAGCGCCCCGCCGCTGCGCCAACAAGGCCAAGACCCGCGTTATTTCGGTCCGGTCATGGGAAGAGGAGCGAGGAAAAGGCAGTAAGTCATGAACAGAAACACAGTCCACAGTCCGGAGGCGCAGCGCGAGTAGCGAGTTAGTGCGACTCAAATTTCAAGATGCGCCGTGGAGATGACACATTCCCCATTGTTTCGCTTGGTGCTTTTTGCGTGGAGTTCAACCGTCCTTAATTTCTGTTGACGAGTAATGACCTCGGTAATGACCACTAGGATCACACGGAGGATTCGAGATGTTTTTATTTTTCTGGAACAAACATGAATATTTATTCATGCTTCATGCAGGTGCCCGCCCCGGATCCCCGGGATCCCCGGATCAGCGACGATACCAGATCTTTGCGACCCGAGGGGAAAAAAAGCGGAGTCGTCTGCGGCAGGGAAATTGGCGGCGTGCCCTCCCGGCCCGGATGCGGATATGGGCTCCTAGTCCCGGGCACCTAGCGCCGAGCGCAAAACTGTGGCGCGCAATTTAAATAGCGCGAAAGAGGGGGCGTAGGGTGCGGGAGGATGGGAAAGAATGAAAAGACGAAGGAGCAAAGAGAAGGTTGCGGAGCGGGCGTGGGGGGTAAAGGGGGGAGCGTACCACGGCGTAAACAGCTTCGGAAACAGCCGGCCTACCTGGGTGACGGATGGGCAGTAGTCTTCGCGCCACGCCCCGTCGGCAGGGACCGCCACGCCGGCCATGCCACGCCCTGCCACGCCCTATGACAATAGCGCTGTCGGCCAGCGCAGTAAGGCGGCGGGGCGGGGCGGGGGCGGGAGTCCTATTGTGAGCTCACTGTGGTCGCAAGTGGTCACAATTTGCGGTTCAATAACAGTGCCGGACGGTCGGTCCGGTCGGTGCCCGGGGCGCCCCTCCACCCGGCGTGTCGGCGTCGGGAGTTGGGCAGTGCTGCTCGTCGGGCAGGGCCAGGCATGCGACGCACAGAAAGAGAAAGAGAGCGCGCAGATGAAGAGGGGGAAAAAGGAAAATAATAAAAGAAAGGGTGAAAATAAGTACGCGAAAATTGAGTTGTTTGTTGTTGGTGTCACGACTCGTGCGGGACGCCGGAAACAATCCGATTCAATAAAAGGGGGCGTCCCCCGTCCCCCCGCGTACCGCCCGTTTTTTTCCGTAACGGTGCAAAGCGATACCACTGCCTTCGCGGCTAGGCCCGGGTGCCCGTCCAACAGCCTATTGTTGCGCACACACCGAGTGTGAGGTGAGAGAACGAAACCGCTCAAATGGGATCACTTCAACGGAAAGAAACTAAAGTATCGTATTTCTTAAATGTTTTCCAATTCAACTTTTAAAATTTTGAATGGTTAAACTTTGCGTCTTCTCGACCAAGTGCGAATCGTAGAACGTACTATAGGACTAGAAAATACGTGTCGTATAAAAAGAACGTTATAGGCGAGCGGCGGGCGTTCGCTGGGTCTTGGGATGCTGCTTACGGCGCCGTATGACCGCGCCGCTGCAGCGCGGCATCGCGTATGGCAGGCAAACAGGACTCTGTAATCCGAGTCGCGCATCTCCGCCGTTCTGTTCCACATCTTCGCGAGGCTCCGTCGGGCCCCGCGGCCTCCGCTCCAGGCCGCCGCCGCTGGCCGCTGTGGGTTCGAACTGCGCGCCACTTTGGTACTGCGGCTCCGCACGCACGCACGCCCTGCCAATCGCCTCACATTGAATGAACAGCCGCCCGCCAACTTTTATTTCTCCTCACCGGAACAAGACAACAGATGCTCGGTGCTCACCAAGCAGCGCGTGGCGGGCTGGCGAGCTTGTCGGAGAGCACGCAGGCTGCTGGTCGGTGATGCGCTTTCGCTGCTCCGCCATCATGGCTCATCTATTTTTCTTCGCATTCGCAAGATTTCTATTTCCGCTGAGGGGGCTGGGGGAATGGGAGCGGGGAGCGGCCGGTCGGCACTGGTTTGTTGGTTTAAGCTTCAGATAGCTCGGTCGGCTGCTCGGCTAGCGGCGCGAGGCGCGGAGAGCGCCTGGCGAGTAGGCAGCGTGGTGACACCTGTGGCGTGCGGGCCTGCCTACCCAGCCAGGGGCTACAGCCTGGCGAGTAGGCAGCGGGCCTGCCTACCCAGCCAGGGGCTACAGCCTGGCGAGTAGGCAGCGGGGCGACACCTGTGGCGTGCGGGCCTGCCTACCCAGCCAGGGGCTATAGTCGGCCGCCTGGCGAGTGGGCAGCGCGGCGGGCGATCCAGCAAAGTGTTGTTCTATCTTACTCTTTGGGACAGTCTTATACTTACTAAATGTGGCCAACTCGACCTATCTCATGCCTCTGTTCTCTCGACTGTTTCAGGCGGTGGCGGCAGCTCTGGCCGCTCCTGGTGCCCCTGATCGTCGCCATGGTCCCGGCGCGCGCCCAGGACCTCGGCCTGGACACCTTCTCCATGCCTGTGTCTTACTCCATGCCGGCACCGGCCGCCTACTCCGCGCACCCGAGCGCCCCCTGGGCCGTCGCCGCCCCCAGCCCGCCGGCCAAGAAGTCCGCCGTCCTGCAGCACTTCAAGTCGATCCGAGGCTCGACGTCCACCACGCCGCGGGTGGCCGACGAGGACAGCACGGCCACGCCGCCGCGCTACTCGAGCAGCTACAACTCTCAGCGCGTGCAGCTGCAGGTGCGGCCCGACAGCCAGCCGGCCGCGCGGCAGGACGAGCAGGCCCTCATGCAGAAGCAGCAGAGCTACCAGAACCTGCACGACTACCAGGCACTCAGCAAGAATAGCTACCAGAACCTGGCCAGCCTGCAGGACCAGAGCCAACAGCAGCCGCAGCAGCAGGCGTACCAAAGCTACCAGCAGGTGGCGCAGCAGCAACAGGCCTACCAGCAACAGCAGGCCTATCAGCAGCAGCAGGCGTACCAGCAGCAACAGGCGCAAGCGTATCAGCATCACGGCTCTCAGGACCAAGCGTACTCGCAGCAGCAGCAGCAGCAGCATCAGCAGCAGCCGCAGCAACAGACCCACCAGCAGCAACAGGCGCATCAGCAGGGCCAGCAGCTGAGCTCTCAGGACCAAACCTACTCCCAGCAGAAACAGGCCCACCAGCAGCAACAGGCGCATCAGCAAGGCCAGCAGTATGGCTCCCAGGACCAAACCTACTCCCAGCAGAAGCAGGACCAGCAGTATGCCGCCCAGGACCAGACCTACTCCCAACAGCAGGTCTACCAGCAAAAGGCTGAACAGCAGAAGAAGCCGGAGCCGCAGGTGTCTGAAGAGGAGACGGACGAGCATCAGCAGCTGCAACAGACGGGCCCGCAGCAGGACAAGCCTACCAAGACCTACACGGCCAACGTGCTGAGTTACGCGCAGGGCCAGGGTCAGGCCACGTCGCCGGCGCCCAGCCAGCCGGTGCCCAACGCCGTCTCCATCGAGGAGGCGGTGGCGGCGGCCGCGGCCGTGACGCAGACCCCGGAGCTGGCCCCGCTCACGCCCGAGGAGGCCCAGCGCATCTTTGCCCAGCAGCAGGAGCTGCGTCAACAACAGCAACAGTACATGCTCTCGCAGCAACAGCAGCAACATCCACATCAGAGGCAACAACCGCAGCAGCAGTCCACCACGGCGCAGTACGAGCGCTACTACGAGGCCGCGGCCGCCACGGGTGTCACTCCCAACCCGTACCTGGCGCCGACGCACCTGTACACGACGCCGGCGCTGGGCGTTGGCGCAGTCGTGGGCGCCCCGGTGCGCGGCGCCGTGCTGCCCCACTACAAGCAGGGCGCCAACCTGGTCGTGGGTGCCGGCGGCGCCAGCAGCCCGGTGATGCAGGCCGCCGTCAACTACTACAAGAACGGCTACTACGCTGACCCCTCCCTCATGTACCAGCTGGGCAAGACCCCCTACCGGCGCGTGTCCGGGCCCGCCCCCCGGCCGCGCCCGCGCCCGCGTCCCCATCACCGGCCCCACGCACACGCGCACCTCCCCCACGCCCACGCGCACGTCGCGCCCTACAGGTACAAGTCGTCCGCGGGCCCGCAGGTGCAGCACTTCTTCCACGGGCCGTACACCATGGAGGCCGCGGTGGGCGCCAACCCCGGCGCGGGCGCCTCGCCTGACGCGTGGATCGAGCACGCCATCGCCCCCATCAAGAGGGACGACTCGCTGCTCTCGGGCCTCGGCACGGCGCCGGGCTCGTCCACCGCACTCCTCAACGGGCTCCTGGTGCCCATCGTCCTGCTCGGACTGAGCATCCCCGCCCTGGGCTTCGCCTACTCGTACCTCAGCAGGCGGCGGGCCTTCGACAACGACGTGGCCTCCTTCGTGCAGAACCTCCGGCCCGACGAGGAGACCATCGACTACTACTTCAACATGCTGCAGAAGTCCATAGAGTGCTTCAGCGACCCCAAGCTCAGCCACTGTGAATGAACAGCCGGGCCTATCTCCGATCCCCCCACAACACAACTAGCTCGGAACAAATCGCATTCCATTTTCTTCTTTCAATATTCCTTTCGCTTTGGAGGGAGAAAGTGGGATGAACTAGTCCTTTCCTTCGAATGGCTGGGCATGTGCTGGGCTGCACTTCTGCAGGCATCCTTCTTGAAGCTCGGCTTGTTTGATCTTCACCTCCTTGTCTCAGGACCCACTGTGTCATAGTTGATTAGAAAACAACAGTCCATTGGCTCCGAGACATAGCTCGATTGCGTCATGCCGCTTCAAACTCATGGCGTTTTCGAGCAAAGTGAAGGGTGTGTTGTGTGTAGATGTAAATTGTGTTCAACTGATGTTATAGAGGAAGATCATGGTTCCCCTAAAAAATCAAACGGGTCCAAACATGAAATTAATTTATTTTTATTTAAATAC